TGAGAGGCGATGAGGGAGCAGGACTGGGGCAGGTGGTGGGGGACAGACAGTGGGGGGCATGTGGTAGGGCAGATGGGGTGAAGAGTGGGGAAAAAGAGAAGGCAGGAACACCACAATAAAGTAGAGAACCCCTTGGACCACTTCAGGCACCCACCCATGTTCTCAAACACACACAGAGGGTTGTTAAGCCTCTATACCCTACCAACCTCCCTATTAGATTCAAGGGAAACCAAAGAGTTAAATCCCTCTGGAAACTGGCCTACTGCCCAGCCCCAACCAATGGTGCAAAATACCAAGCAAAACCCCGCACCAATGTAAAGTTTAACAAGTGTATTAAGACAAGCACCAACAAAACCAAACACAACAGTATACAGACACAGTATACAGTAGTAATAACAATTAAACTATAGAACAGCTAAAGAACCCAATGGCAGTCTGCAGTCTGTCACCCTAGGTGGCAGACTATTACCCTAGAGAGCGGATAGGCAGGGAACGCCCACTCTGCAGCCTCACACCCCTGAGGATTTCTATGCTGTTCCCTCACATGCAGATGGGTACTAAGCACCTCGGAAAAGGGGTAGGTGATATTTTACCCGACCAATGCGACGCACAGAAGCAGTTGAGCAGCCGGCAAGTGCTCAGATGATCAGCACCCTCATGTCATTGCTCCTGAACACTGTCCCACACACACATATTCACTTGCTCCAGAGTCAATAAACTATGGGTTCCACAAACAGGACTCAAATACTAAATCAGTTACACATGCACACACATCAGGCAGAAGAGGGAGAGAGTGCGAGACAGAGCAGGTCTCAGCGAGCTCTAACTCCGCCGATGATGACCCCCAAAAGCTGCCCCGGCCCCTACACTGGACAGGCTTTAAAACGTCTGAACCATGCCACCTGTCAATCATGTGCAGATCCAAACATTACATGTGCATCAATCAATGCCAATCAAAGTCAATCACAGCTAGAACCATACAATGACCCATACCCAATGACCCAGAATAACTCATTAAAATAATGGTCCTAACTGCCACTGTTCCCCTGGCTAACAAACAAACAACTAGGTACTGGTCAAACAACTCACTGCACATGCTCAGCTTTCAGAAGTGGGTCATGACATGATTAAGGTTAGGAGTTCAAATGTTCTAGAATACTCCAACCTTTAGTCATCTTACGCATGCGTAACAATGCCAGGACTCCACTGTCTACAGGGGGCATTAATGGGACAAGCAGTGGTGATAGGGGGCAGGCAGCATGGAGGCAGTGGGGCAGGCCGTAACAGAGGCAGGAAGCAAGAGAGGTAGTCAGTTTTCTCTCTGCTGCCTGTCCCCCTTACCTTCTCATTGTGCCTGCTTGCTCCCTCCTCAGGTTAACCTGATTCTCCCTTCCCTTGTTTCCCCCATCTCCATGCCCCTTCTGCCATCTACAGCCCCAGGTCCTTGTCCCCTTCATCCCATCTCCCCCCCTGAAGTCTCTCCCCACCCCCACCTACCCCTCAACCTCTGCCCACTTTGCTTCACACTGGCAGGCTCTGTTCCTCCTGCAGCCCAGGGCATGAAGCATGGCTTCCACCATAGCAGTGGCATGGAGTGCATTGCTGTTCCAACCTGGCCTAATAGCAGCAGAGCCAGCTTCCCACCATTGCCTTTGCTCCACACCCTTGGCTCCCTCTTGCCTTGTGCTCAGTTACAAGGGGTTCCCTCTCCTCCCCCCACCCCTTGTTAAATGTGGGGGAGAAAATCTCATTTTCTAACCAAGTATATACAGTATTAAGTTACAAATATAAAAGCAAAATGTTAAACAATAGTCTAGTGAGACACAAAGAACTTAGATTCAGAATCAGATCCTGTCTCCCTATGTGTATGTATTGTGAAAATGACCTTTACTGAAGCACTGAGGTGTTAAAAGAAAAAAAAAAGGTTTAATAATAAAAAATGATTATTAAATGTATAAATGTGGCAATCTCTGTGGAAGTATTAAAATGCATAATATATAATGGCAGGTGTACTACCTCCAGTTATGTGGTAAAAAGAAGAAATTATACATTCCTAATTAGCTATTGCAATTATTTCTACCCTTGTTAATGAATAATTTATTCTAGCCAAAAGGGAAGCAACTAATTGAAGGAACTGTATAAACAACTGCATACACAGTGTAGTATATACTTTTTTAAAAGAGGAAAAGCATCAAACAGCACAGAAAGTTTAAAGGTTTAGATGGAGGATTTTCTTTTTTGGAACATCAAAACCAGGCAATGTAAGAAGTTATTGTTACAAAACAGTCTTTCCCTTTTGGCCCAAGGTTTTGCTTGTCTTTCCAATGTTTATTTTCCCCATCTCATCCATTTGCATGAAACTGAGACTTTGGCAAGTAACGTTTCTCTCAGAAACTGAAGGAAAACGGTCTTAGAAATAACAATGCTCACAATACCTCAAGTATTGAAAATAATGGCAATTGTTTCTGTTCAGCATTATGAATAGGGGGTCACTTCTAATAGCCTGTGTATTTTTTAAAGCACCTTCTTTCTGTTCTCTAACTCTTTGGTATTCCTGTTTAGTATTTTTTGAATTTTTAATGGATTAATTTGGAGAAACTGTGGCCAAGTGGATCATTACACTCATAATATTATTTTAATTTGCATTAGCAGAGTCTATTTGGGAAAGAATTTCCATTAACTAGTATAAATCAAAGATGTGTCTATATGAACATCCAGAGGACAGGAGAAACGACCTAGCATTTCTGTTCAGCTCTCCCTGAAAACAGAAAAATATACAGGAAAAATTGTTTTGGAGCATGCAGCCATAAAGCAGGGGAGCATGAAAATAAATGTCTCTTGGCCATTTTATAGGGAAAATTGTATTTAATCTGTATAAGACTGATATCAAGTCAAATAAATGTATTTTCTTTAAGCCAAGCTCGAATTCTGATGCCTACTGCTTGGTAGTAATTTGAACCTGTTATTGATTAATCCTTGAAAAATGGGCTTTGATTTTCCTCAAACTGTCTGAAGGGCACAGGATTTACTCCCATTGACTCCAGGTCCTTTACAAAATGGAAAAAAACATCTTTCTGAAATGGAGTGTAAAAGAAATGTACACCCCTGTGGGTTTCACTTGCCTTTAGAATTTCCTGTGCAGCCTTCCTTTTGCACAGGTACAAAGCAGGAGTAATTCTTCTGGAACTAAAGATAACAACTGGTCCTTAAAGGTATTTTTACTGTAGGAACAGAAAGACAAATGTAGACCCCCCCACCCCACAGTTAACATTGGCCAAAATAGGCAGAAAATAGATCTATTAAATCCAAGATCACCCTTTTCTATTTTGTAACAAAATTATATTTCTGTGACTGCCTAAGAACAATGTTTTCCTGCCCTCATTCTAAAACCTCTGTTAATGCCTAAGTATCAAAGTTTTAAGGAGACCTTAATATCAAGGTCATCCTTATTTAAAGGCTACATACAGTTGTAGAGATTGTGGGACTTTTGGATATCAATAAACCAGTAGCTGATCACTAGCTTGCATGGGTTTGACATATGGACAACTCTGAAACCCTGAAATAGACTGACTTTTGGGTACAAAAATGGCAGTGCTGTTCATGAGGCTATGCCTCTATTAGGAAAATTAAAGACTGCTTGTGCAACTAACTCCTTCTCCTCACTCACCCCACCCCCTCCTTTCTTTCCCAGGGCTTGCTATCAGGATCTCAATCATACCTGCCTCCTCTCCTACTTCCAATACCTTTCCGATATCCAGCAGAAGTTCCCTTCTGCAAGCCAGTCCTGGTTCCCCTCCTCCAGTGTCAACTTCTTGTCCCCTGTTTTTATGTTCAGCCAACAGGTAATATGAGCGGATTGTCCTGTCCTCCCAACTCTGGAACTGGCTTCATCTCCCTTCCTGGGTTTCTAATCCAACTGTAGTTTCCACCACCTTCTCCCATTTTGAAAGAGGGGAGGGGGAATAGAGCTTTTCAAAGAGAAGGTTACCAGGAGTGTTTCACATGGGCAAAACTAACTGTTAGCCTCATTCTTGGAAGTAGTTGGCCCATTTTGACTAAAGTTTTCCATAATTATTCAATCTGAGATTGATGCCCAACATGGAAAATTTCAACCCAGATAGTTAAAGCAACTGAAAACAGAGTATTTTAAAGGAAAGTGCTGGGCAACTTAATAATAGGTGGCACTACTCACTCTGTGAGTATTATTTTATATACGTATTGGCCTGCAAGGCTGCCAAACCTACACTTTATATGATCACTACACTGCTTTAGGAGAGTTTTGACATAGGGTGAGCAAAATACTAAAAAAGTAACTTATGTTTATTGACTTTTTGATTCTTCAGGACAAAGACTAAATCTATAATTTTTAAGAATCAGATACTTGTTACTAAAAAGTTGAAATCTCTGACCAAGAAAAAATTGTTGCTACTACCCAAAATGATTCTGACCCAAGATTTCCACTGGAAGCTACATAAAGATTTTTCTTATTTCAGCAATATGGAATTATGACATGAAACATTTTGTCTCTTTAGGTTATATTTGCTTGGCCTACTACAAATTAGAGAGTCAAAAGGGAACAATTACTTTTACACAAGTGTTATTACTCGCTCAATTTTTTTCCACATCAGGAAAAATGTTAACCTGGGTTTTAAACTAATGAAATGATCTTTAAGAATTTCTTGTTAATGTATTTAGATCCCTGGATGTATTTCAAATACTTTCCCAGTTAGTGGCTATATTTTAAGATCAAGACAGATGATGTGGTGGAAGGCAAACTCTATACAGACAGATGTACAATGCTATCCCTTCTGTCACCTGCAATAATTTCTGTAGTAAATTCTGAATTATAAATCAAAAACATGCTATTGATGAAATGCCTACTCATGTACCCAGCTCTAATGAGGCAAAAGGAGTTAAACTTTGGGAATATTTTAGATCTCTCCACTCTCAGTCATAAAGTTAATCGATTAGCTTAAATAATTGACCATATTCATCAGTTACCAATATATTGCTTTATTTCTTGGTAGTAAATTAAGGCTTTATAGTGAGATTCATACAGTATAGGCCAATTTAAACATTAGGACCTTTAAAAACCACGCAGCGCTATTCATTCAATTTAGCATAGCCAGAAAAGTAGCAACCTTTTTTTATAAACAGTTAAACATCACAAGACCTTTCATTTCATGAGTGCAAGTGGCTCAATCAAATTCCCACCATTCTCAAGAATGGATTCAACATTTAACTCTCTCTTGGGCCAGCTCTGTATTAAGGATAATGAAGAGTATAAGTGGCTAGGATGAATGACACTGTATAGTATGCCTGACAGATCAATTGTATTAAAAAAGAATGGAAAAGAAAACTATCCTGATGGCAGCTGGCAAAGAATGGTACCACTCACAAGCATATGCTGATTTGGGGTGACGAGGAACTGGAAGACATTTTCCACACAATCATTTGAACCCCTGGCCCTTGCCAGATTTGTACAGTGTTATTTAGAATTACCAAGTTTGGTCATGAGATAAATGTTCCATGTGGAAAGAGACACACAATTAACCACAGGCAAAGGAATATGCATGAGGTAAAGGATTTATTTCTTCCTAATGGAAACACAATTCACCTCACAAAAGGGAACTTTCTGCAAACATTTGTTGCCCCCCAAATCATGTGCTACCAACATTTCCTTAGTGATTATGTATTTTCTTAAACACATGGATTTTCACTTCATATCAGTGACATTATTAATGTTGTCTGGAGACGATGAGGCTACTGTTTTTATGAAAACCAGACAGGATGTTTCTTTCCCACATCTCTCTACCAGAAACATTTATAGTGCCTGGGGCCTAACATCTGAACCTGGTTGTCAATCTTATGCAGGGGGCCTGCCTGCCTGAAAATATCATCACTCCTAACGTGTCTGGCATTCAGTTCTGAGATGACTTGCCAGAATCTGAGAGGGGAAAGCAGTTGCCAGATGATTATGATATGATGAAATGATCACATGCTCAGGGGAAAAAAGAAGGCAATGAGTAGGGGGAAAGCTTTCAAACTGATGGCATTAGCAAGAGAGTGGCTATATCAGGAACACCAGTTGGAGCAAAGAGGCTCCAGCCATACAGGGTAATGCTGATATTTTCATTCCTTGATGTAGGATAGAATTTCTTAGTTTGAGGGAACACACAGACATGATTTCCCTGAATCCAGTTCTAATACAGATAACATCCCCAATCCCTTTTTCCCAAGGATGTGGTCTGATAGCCGGTTAATGACTTCCAAGTCTTGAAATCTACAATCCAGTAAACTGGAAGGCTGTAGAAAGTATGCAACTTTCTGTGTATAAGTACACATACTGAACAGTAAAGTATATACTTCAACACATGGGCAGATAATGATTCCACTCTTCGTAAAACGAATCTCAGTTGCACCATTCCCTGGTGTAGTAGAGGAACAACTAAGGAAGGGAATAAACTGTCGGCACTGGTACGGCACAGCTATACTGCAACTCTTATAGGTTTGCTTTGGTATGAACTATTCTGTAACACTTACTAATTCCTGGTATGGTGTAGTACTACCTTCATTCACCATGGCAATAACGTAGGTAGGATCTCTTAGGCCAAACTGCAGCTAAGCAGAAATTACTGACATTTTCACTCACTGGCTTAGAAAGGGATACCAGCTGCTTCCAACATCCCTTAAAAATTTCCTTTTGCTCCAGTGCTAATGCTTATTGCACCCAAAGGGCCCCAGTAGATATAGTAGCAAGAGGTGATTTCATACAAACACAAGAAGCCTGTGTTAAATCAGTGGTGCTGACAGTAGCGTATTCACGATCCTCACACATGATGTCAAAGAGATTTGAGGTATGCTTTTCAAATGTGCTCAGACAAACAGGAGCAGAGTTACGCCAACCTAGACTACATTTAAAAACCTGATCTTGTATTTCTACAGGGCTTGCTGGAATGTGGGCAAAAAACTGTCAAGATGATGATAGTTAAAGATAAGGTTAAGCCATATTCAGCCATGTGGAAGAATTTTGGGGGGCAGGTCTATAGACAAATAATGGCTGCGTAGCATCACCTACACAGCTGGTATTCATATTTTAATGATGCTTAGGTTGCATCTCAAAAAGACCTATTCCTCTGGAAGAACTAGGACTGCTCATGGATGTCATGGGAATAGCAATGTAATGCTGAGATCTCACTGCTTTTAGGTTAAGGAAGCTTCTCCAAAGGGACTGGATCCAATTAGGAAAATAGTGATGGTATAGCTGCCCCCCACCCCTCAGTTTTTTTATATTTATATTTTAAACCCTCTCCAACAACATACAAGAAAGCTGACTCCCAGGAGCCATTTGAGAGAAGATAGTAACTGTACGTGGCCATGTGTATTTATACATCAATATTTTTAATATTTTGTGGTCATCGGCAGGAGCTGACGATCCTGTTAGAAAAAAGCAGGGTTGGTGTGCTCTATAATACAACGCTTGCAATGGCGTTTAACAAACCGCAGGGCATCCACAGAGACATCGCAGTCCTGCACATTCAGCATCTGCAGGTCAAAGCAGTTGGCAGCAACAATCTGCAAGCCCTGGCCTGTGATGCTCTCACAAGACTTCAGGCTCAGGCGCTTCAGGTTGAAGCAGTTTAGGGCCAGGAACTCCAGGCCAGCGTCTGAGACCAAAGGACACTTGCCGATATCTAGTGACTTGAGTTTTGTGCAATTTTTGGCAAGGTACTCCACACCATGGTCCGTGATGCCCTCGCAGCCCCGCGCATTCAGGTAGCGCAACTTGCTGCAGTACTTGGCAATGTAACGGATGCCCACATCCGTGATTCGGCTGCAGTGGGCAATGCTGAGGTACCGCAGGCGTGACTCCAGCTTGGCAATCTCCCTCATGCCAAAGTCACTGACAAAGCGGCAGTCGCTCACGCTCAGTTCCTTGACAGACGTGCAGTAGATCATTAGGTAGCGGAGGCCTTCATCGGTGATGCGGACGCAGCGGCGCAGATACAGATGGGTCAGCTGCGTGCAGTGAGCAGCAATGGTGTGCAGTCCTTCGTCCTCCAGGACAAAGCAGTCTGTCATGTCCAAGTAGCGGATGGAGATCTGTTTACCATGTAACGGAGACAGCTTGATCGAAGCTTCACGAGTAAGACTAATGCACGTCACCTTGGAGCAGCCTAAACATGAACAGAGAAAAGGTACAATGTTAGTAAGTTGCAGAACAACTCTCTCAGCAAGGTAAATGGTGTAATGCAGGCCCTCTCAGTTTTGCCAGAACCCAGAGAGATGAAACATTAGCTATCACTAGAACCACAGGTTCTGGTTTTGTCTGTGTTCTAAAGTATGATGATCTTTTAGAAAGTAATGGCCATTTCAGAATAAAAGAACTGTGTGTGCAAGGATCATTTACTGGACAACACTGCTTCTCTACAATATAGTTGTAAATGACAGGTGTGTTCAACAAGGCCACCAATGTTCTCTGATGCTTTATAGTTTCCCACTCATTGGACACAAAATGGCTTTATTTTGAAACTGGTGTTACTTTCTGAAACACCCTCATAAATTTGATGATTGTTCAAAATATCTTTATTTAGTGGCAATAGGAGAAAAGGGAGTGGACAGGCATCAGACCTGTAGTAACATCATCACTGATTTACTTTTAATTTCTGAACCAGTATCAGTAGCCATTTTTCTGTCAACACTTCAGGAAATTAAAGGAAAGCTACCACACCCAGGCAAGCAAATGTTTTGGGAATGGAGCTGAACTAACCATGCTACTGATGGGGAATTGTGCCAGTAGCAGAATGGCAACCATCTAGACACTGAATTACAATCCTGAATAGCATGGCATTTTATATTCAAGTAAACTGAATAAACCAGGGCCAGCATGGTGATGTTTGAAGGAACAAAAAATCCAGCAAATAACATGAAGTGCTAATTCCTCCCCTCCACTCTCCACTGTAACTCCCTCTTCAATTGGATTGTATACAGAAAAGACTTTTTCTTTCCTACTTTGGCAAAACAATGCAGTGATCCAAAATTGAAGTGATGCCAGAAATGCACTCCAGGGAGCAAATTCTACCCAACCCTGGTAAGTGCAGTTCTCTTATTACCCCTGCCCCATTTTAGGGGTTAAGGGATGCTGTAGAAGTAGCAAGTGCCTTGAGAGGAGGTAGAGATAGAATTAGAATGCATCTTGTATCACACGTATCTCATAAACTTTGTAGTGACAGACCTGGCCTGTTTAAGAGCAAGGAATACCTCATTCTACAGTCCCTGGTTGACATGCATTGGAAAACATCAATGTTATTATGATATATACTCAGAATCAGAGAATCATAAAGGAGTAGGGCTGGAAGAGACCTCCATAAGTCATATAGTCCAACCCCTTGCCTAAGGCAAGATCTTTCTTATCCAAACCATCCTATACAAATCCATTGTCTAACCTCTTAGCAAAAATACAGTCAATCTTGACACAACACAAGACATAACATCCTAACCTGCCACAGACGCACCATGGTGGCAAACATCCTGATCCTGTAAAAGCTTGTTGTTATATGCTCAACAAGCATCTCAGGAAGATCTCAGGAAGAGGGCCATCCCTCACCACTACAGAAGATACATTTCTGTATTTTCTTTATGGTGGGTTACCTGCTTGGAGTTAAATCAAAAGGATTGTTAAAGGAATCAGCTAGGATGGGTAACATAACAACAAAGATAAGAGATGTTGATGAAACAACTGGTAGGGCGCCTATACACAAAGGCTCCAGGGTGGTGGAGGGAGGCAGGGGGTGGTGATTTAATTAAAGCACCTGCAGCATCACATGTATTCAGTGTCCCGTGCTTTAAAATGGCGGTGAAGGCGCTTTAACGTGTATAGGGTCTGTTACGTGTATAGGTGCCCGTAATGTCCCCTGTTCACTGAGTTTCATTCAGGCTAGAAAAGGTATAATCCCTCTTGAGGCCACTGAAGATGACTCACAATACCAAGGAGAAGTCAGATCACTTTGGAATCCAATCATTAGTATAGTCATTTGAGAAAAAGAGGAGACCTCTATTCCAAGGACTACATATGAAATATAAAAATGTATAAAGGAGGAAGTAGAAGGGGCTTGAAGGAAGAAAAATGAAGAAGGAAGAAATCAGGACACCTCTCTAGCAGCTCTACTTACTGAGCTAGATATAGCCATGCTCACATGCTCTCCCCTCTCTTTCCCAATGGGTCCTGATTTTTTTTCTGAACAGTGACCCAAAATCAACAGAAAAGATGAAAAATGTTTCCACATCAGAAAGCCTACAGCCACAGTGGGCAGAGTGCCCTCTTAGAAAGCAAGGGATGAAGGTTTTAAACCCCTCAGGCCATGGGAGACCTAGTTCCCTAAACATTAGACCAGTGTTTTCAACCTTTTTGGATCAGTGTACCCCTGGCAACCGGATGCAGAGCAGTGTATCCCTGGAGGGATGAGGCTATGACAGGGGCAGGCAATTATTTCAGGCAGAGGGCCGCTTACCCAGTTTTGGCAAGCTGTGGAGGGCCGCATGGGTAGCCCCGCCCTTTGACAGGTGCCCTGCCCCTTGGTCACCATCGTGGGACCAATGTCCCAATGTCTTGGGACCAATGTCCCAGGGCCAGCACCAGTGGGGCCCAGAGCAGGGCGCAGGCTGGCAGGTGTCTGTGGAGCTGGGCTGGGGTGCACCAGCAGGGAGAGGGGGGAGCTGGCCCGGCTCCATAGAGCCCCTGCTGCCTGGGACCCCTGTACTCCTACTGCCCTGCTCTCAGCCCCACCGGTGCTGGCCCCAGGAGCCTGGTGTGCCCCCCCAGCCCCATGGTAAAGGTGGGGGGCAGCAGGGAACGAGCTGGTGCTGAGCGCAGGGAAAAGCGGCCCCTTGCCCGCCCCGTGGCCAGTGCTCCCTGCTGTCGGTGG